TAGTGCATAATGCTTGCATATGAATATTGAAATTTGAGCGTGTCAGGTCACAGGGAAAAGGCTAAAAGTCTCTTGTGAAATTTGTTCTCCAATACATACTTTGCTTTTGGACAATGAGGACGGAACAAAGGACTCTAAGATGATCAAAAATCTCTTTTGAAAAGTGTTCCTTCCTTGAAATTTCAGACTAATCATGTTATTAGAAAGCTAAATTAATAAAAAATGACCCTTGTCGAGATGATTAAAAATTAGCCATTCATGGGACTCTGGGAAGATGGTGGAATAAGAAGCGCCAGGAATCTGTCTTCATACCTACACAACTACACTGGCAGACTCTGTCTGATGGACTCTCTGGAAAGCTTGCAACTTCCAAAGGAAGGCATGGACAGTAAATTGTGGTTATTTTCAGTCTGTTTCAACTCTTAGCACAGTAGCAGCTCCCCATCCCCCTCCCAGCTGCATGGCAAGCATTGCACATGTTCCCGAAGCAGCTTAAGTTGGGCAAAATAGACCCTGTCCTCCAAATATTAGGGATCTATGCTCTGACCACTGGTTCCTGCTCCTGATCATACAGATGCAGACAAAGAGGTAGCAGCCATTATTGCTGTACTTTATCCCCATTTCCCTGCCCCTTCATTTTTTTATTTCCCTCTTTTGGGGAGCCAGACATTAAAGACTAGGACATTCAAAATAACTGCAAATATAGGAGATAATAGAAACTAACCACCCATGACCAGCAAAAGACTCAGAAAAGACCTGAAATGACCTTATGTTTACATCTCAGGCTGATACTAAAAGCTAGTATCATTATAACTTTTTAGTCTACAGCAATCAAACAGCAACAACAAAAAACTCAACAAATCTTGGGAAAGGAGGACAGCTTAATTTCCAGAGTTTCCACATTTTTAGATTCAAATTTCTAGTTTTCATCCAAAAACATAAGGCATACAAAGAAATAGGAATGTATGGCCCATTCAAAGGAAAAAAATCCATCAACAGAAGCTGTCACTGCAAAAGTATGGATGGCAGATATACTAGGCAAAGATTTTTAAACAACCATCTTAAAGATACTCAAAGAACTAAAGAAGATGCGGAGCAAGTAAAAAAAAAAAATCTATATCTATATCTATATCTATATCTATACACATGAACAAATGGAAATATCAATAAAGAAAAAAACCTAAAAAGAAGCCAAAACAAAATTCTGGAGCTGAAAAGTACAATGATCAAAATGATTTTTTTGCTAGAGGAATTCAAAGGCAAATTTGAGTAAGCAGAAGAAAGAATCAGCACACTTAAGGTAATGAAAATTATGAAGTCTAAGGAAGAGAAAGAAAAAAGATTGAAGGAAAGTAAATAGAGCTTAAGGGACCTATAGCACACTATCAAGTGGACCTACATACACATTGTGGGAGTCCCAGAAGGGAAAGAAAAAGTTATAGGGTCATAGAGAATATATAAAGAAACAGTGGCTAAAAACTTCCCAAATTTGATGAAATACATGAATATAAACATCCAAGAAGCTCAACCAACTCTAAGTAAGATGAACTGCAAGAGGCCCATATTGAGACATATTGTAATCAAACTTTAGAAAGACAAAGACAAAAAGAGAATCTTGAGAGCACAAGAGAGAGGCAAGAGATCTTCAATAAGACTGTCAGCAGATTTCTTACCACAAAATTTGGAGGCCACAGGCAGTGTACTGATATATTCAAAGTGCTAAAAGAAAACAACTGTCAATCAAGAATCCTACATCCGGCAAAATCGTCCTTTGAAAGTGAGGGAGACACTAAGATACTCCCAGATCTAGTTCATTACCACTAGATCTGCCCTGCAAGAAATGTTCAAAGGAGTCCTGCAGGATGAAATGACAAGACACCAGACTCAATGCCATATGGCAAAATAAAGATCTCAATAAAGGAAAATACAAGGGCAATTATAAAAACTTTATTCTTTTAACAACTGTGGAGTTTGTTAACTTCACTTTTTGTTTTCTACATGATTTATGAGACTAATTCATTTTAAAAAACCCAATTATTAGTCTAAAAGCTAGTATCACTATAACTTTGCTTGGTAACTCCAAGTTTTGATTTCTATATAATTTATGAGACTAATGCATTCAAAAGAATTATTAGGTTATGTTTTTGGACACACAATGTATAAAGATGTAATTTTGTGACATCAACAACCTAAATGGGTAAGGATGTAGCTATGAAGGAGCAGAGTTTCTGTATGACTCTGTTCATGTTATAGAAGGTTATATGTTCTTCTGTTATGTTATAGACGGTTATGTTATAGAAGGTTAACTGGTATAAATTCAAACTAGTGTGTTTTAACCTTAGAATGTTAAATATAATCCCTAAGGTAACCACAAGGAAAATAGCTATGGAACATAAACAAAAGAAAATGAGAAAAGAAATTAAACAATAACAAAAAAATCAACTAAACAAAAGAAAGCAGTAATATAGAAAATTCAAGACAAGAAAAGTTACAAGACATAGAGAAAACAAAAAAGAAAATGTCAGAAGTCCCTCTTTATCAGTAATTACTTTACTAATGTAAATGAATTAAACTCTCCAATCAGAAGACAGAGATTAGAAGAACGGATAAAATCACATGCTCCATCACACATATATTCAGTTTACACAATACTCACCTTAGAACCGAAGAAATAAATAGACCAAAAGTGGAAGGAAGGACAAAGATATTCCATGCAAATAGTAACCGAAGAGAGCAGGGATGGCTACATTAATATCAGACAAACAGACTTTAAATCATAAGATTATGAGACAAAGAAGGGCATTATATATTTTTAAACTCCAATACAGCAAGAAGATACAACAATTATAATTGTTTATGCACCTGATGACAGACCATCAAAATATATGGAGTAAAAACTGACAAAATTAAAGAGAAAAATAGACAGTTCTATAAAAATAGTTATAGACTTCAATACCCTATTCTCAGTAATGGATAGAACAACCAGGCAGAAGATGACTAAAGAGATAGAGAACTTAACAATACAATAGACATGTACAGAAAAGACTACACAACAATAGCAAAACCCATTCTTCTCAAGTGCACGTAGGACTTTTGCCAGGATACAGCATATGTTAGGCCACAAATTAAGTCTCAATAAATACAGAAAGACAGATATCATAGGGAATAACTTTTCCCACCATCTTGGAAGTTAGAAATCAAAAACAAGTAAAATTGGAAATTTCACAGTTTTGTGGAAGTTAAACAATGCATTCTTTTTTTAAAAAAAAGATTTTACCCTTAAAAAAAAAGATTTTATTTATTTATTTGAGAGAGAGAGAGAGCAGCAGTTGGGGTGAGCAGAGTGAGAGCGAAAGGGAGAAGCAGACTCCCCACTGAGCATGGAGCGTGTTGTGGGGTTTGACAGGGGGCTCTATCCCAGGACCCTGAGATCATGACCTGAACTGAAGTCAGAGGCTTAACCATCTGAGCCACCCAAGCATCCCTAAACAAAGCATTCTTAAGTGACCAATGGATCAGAGAAAAAAATTACAAGTGAAATTAGAAAATACTTAGAGATGAATGAAAATGAAAAAAAAAAACCTTACAGGATGTAGCAAAAGCAGTGCTTAAGGGGCAAATTTATAGCTGTAAGTGTTTATATTAAAAAACAAGAAAGATCTCAAAACAACAACCTAATTTTACAACTTAAGGAACTAGAAAAAGAGCAAACTAACCCCCAAGCTAGCAGAAGGAAGGAAATAACAAAGGTTAGAGCAGAGATCAATGAAATAGAGAATAGAAAAATAATAGCAAAAATGAATGAAATCAAAACGTGGTTCTTTGCAAAGATTAACACATTGACATTTAGCTAGGTGAACTAAGAAGGAAAAAAGAGAAGACTCAAATTACTAAAATGAGAACTGAGAATTGGGACACTACTGCTGATTCTACAGAAGTAAAAAAGATCTTAAGAGTATTTTGAACAATTGTACACCAACAAATTGGATAACCACTAAAATTTAACCAACTAACATTTGGTAAGTATTCCTCATACAGGACATTAATGCAAAAGCTAGGGTGTGCTATGGGAATCTAGGATGGCTGGGAATTGTACAAATATCTAAGCCACTCCAAAATGGTTATGGAGCCAAACATCAAGTGGAGCTGGTAGAACCAGGGGGCAATGACAACCGATTGCATGTCAGCTTAATTTTCTTATCCTCAAGAAAGTGTATTTTCTCTGAGAAAGAGAGCGAAAGAAAAAATAAAATGAAGATAAGAAACTGAGCAGCACAGAGGAGTAAATAAGGTAGGCAAAGAGAAAAAGGAGAAAGGAAAGGACCCAGGGAGACAAGGAAAACACAAGAAACAGTCACAGTAACTTGTAATCAAGAAGTAAGAAGCTCCTCATTGGTTTCCTCCCTCCAGCTGCAAGACATGGGCTCTGGACCAGCTCTCCTGTTACTTCTCTTACACTTCACTTACCATTGCTCGGGACACCGCAGGCTGATGTGTCCACCTCAGAGCCTCTTCAGAAAACTAAAAAATTATGAATAGGGCCATCATGAGCAGGAAAGGAGGGTACACCAGGGGCCATTATTACTGAAAAAGACACACGTATGTCACAGTCATCATCAAAAGAAGTTTTCCGTGATTGCTACTCAGGACCATTGATGTTACAAACCAACATTCCTCAACTGTGGCCACATGTTAGAATGGCCTGGTAAGCTAAAAACAAAAACAAAACAAAACAAAACAAAAACAAACAGGGGCGCCTGGGTGGCTCAGTCGGTTAAGAGGCTGCCTTCGGCTCAGGTCATGATCCCAGGGTCCTGGGATCGAGTCCCACATCGGGCTCCCTGCTCAGCGGGAAGCCTGCTTCTCCCTCTCCCACTCCCCCTGCTTGTTCTCTTTCTCTATCTGTCAAATAAATAAATAAAATCTTAAAAACAAAACAAACAAACCAACCCAGACTCCACCCCAGGAGATTCAGATTTAACTGGTCTGAAATAGGCCTTGATATTTTGTGGTTCTTTTGTTTTTGTTTTTGTTTGTTGGTTTGTTTGTTACTTCCTAAATGATTATAAGGTGATCTGGAGCTTAGGACCACTTTTACAAAAAAAAAAAATTTCCAAAATATGCTGCATGCTTATTTATTGCTAAAATTACTAATTTTGACTATTGTGAACCAGTAAGCTCTTCTTTCCTGGAAATCCAGGGGCATTTTCTGAATGCTTTGATTTCATTCATCTGACAACAAAAAATACCTATTTAATTGTAACAAACGTTCAAGGCACTCTGTAACAACTTTTGTCTTATTTTATTTCATTTTAGCGACAACCTTACAAGGAGCTCTAGTTAGCCTGAATTCAGTCTTTGATCCAAAGTCTAAAATCATACCTTTTTCATTGCACTTCTCAAAAGGGATTTTACTATCTTGTCCACAGTTGGTACTATGCTATTTGTATGGAATGAAAATTAGGGAGTATTAAGCCTAAGACAATCTCATCATTTTCTCTACATTCCTGGGGGAAAAAAAAACTTACCTATCCCAGAGACAGAACTGTCTACTGCTATTATTTTCCTCCTGTCTGTTATGGGTGAACCTTCTGGCAATATTACTCACTCTGCTTTTGAGAAGATACGGTGAGGGTATACATATCTTCCTAAATCCTTACATCTTATTTTAATAGACTGTTAACATTCTTATTTATTATCATAGCAAAGCTTTAGGATTTCTTCTGTTTTCACAATCAAAGCGCCTCATGAAGCACTTGAGTGAATGACGGGATTTCCCAAAGACAAGTTCAGGCACTTCTGATAATAGTCCCAGAATAGAGATGTTGGAATGAACGAGTGGAAAGAATCCTGGAGCTGTATTTGGAAGATACAGACTAAAACTGATTTGAAATGCTTCCAAACTGCGTGACCTTAAGCAGATCATTTAACACGTATGAGTCCCAGTGTTTTTGGAGATGGTAGTTCCTGCCTCAGTCAGACCACAAAGAGATAAAGAGAGCATGTAAGAGGCCCTCTTTGGAGGCACGTTTTTTTACTTTTGCGAAGTACAGTGCAAATGGATGAATTTGTTCTCCTTCTGTCACTCGCCTCCATCCCTCTCCGCCAGGTGCTGGGACTTTCTAAGCTCCGTTGCGGCAGAAGATTCCAAGTAGCTGAGCAAGGCACCCAGTACAGACAGGCGGAGGCCAGAGATCAGCCTGGGGTAAAGGAATCAGAGAAGATAGTGATACGATAGGGCGAAAGAATCAGAGACAGGTAATGCATGCCTCCACTATGCTTTCTGGAATTTCTTTTGCAAAATATTGAAATTATTTCTCGTAAGGGTATGTATTTGATGACACTTTTAAGTTTCCTTTCTGGAGTAATCAAGGGTTTCTAAGAAGAAACAGAGACAAGGCTAATCAAAAAGCTACAATAGGAAGCTCATTTGAAAAAACTAGACCATATTGGGAGAGAAAATCAACATTTGACCCCCAGATGCTGAAAACACACGACTGATTATGACCAACAATACAGCGCCAGGAACTGAAAGAAGGAAGACAGCGTCAGGAGGCCCAATATGCTTATGGACATTTGTCTGACTCACTGTAAAGGAAAGTGGATGAGGTGACATAAAATGAATGTTTCTGACATGCAATCATGAAATAGCATGAGCCTAGGGAAGCCTCTTACCTGTCACTTACTTCTACATATTAAATTAATCATCAAATAGTAGATACTTCTTGGCAACTATAACTCTTGGTCAAGAGCTGTACTGTTGTTATCTCAAGTCATTTGCAGTACATTTCACAAGGTGATGACTATTTCATGCTTTTCCACCACCATCTGCAGATTGGAAAACAGAGACTCAGAGAGGCAAAGCACCAAAGTGCACTGAGTCTAATGGGTTGTTTGTTTACTCTTTGCTTATTATCCTTTCTTCCCCTCGGAATCAAAGATTTGCCTTGGTTTAATAATTCACCATAGAAGACTGCACTTTTTCTTTTAATGAACAAATAGTAAAAGCAAAGATTAAAAAAAAAAATCTATCTCTATCTCCTTGGTTTCGAGTAAGCAAAAAACTGGGGGCCTTTTATGGCCCAAACTAAACTTTTATAACCAGGAAATCATAAAAATAAAATTTCCAGTGCAAAGAAGCAGGTTTCTAAATTAATAATAGAAGTAAGTATAATTATTAGTAAGGGAATATTGTTTCATTAGAAGAAATAAAACAGCAGTATATTTAGTCAATTAATACGTGTATCACAGAATTATTTTAGAATCCATGTTTATTTGGAAAAAGTATGATGCCTTTGACAAAAATACTTTTATTTTGCATTAAGTATAAAAATAAAAATGTAAATGAGTAGTTTATGTAATTTCTAATGCTAAAATAGCTCTGAACTATATCACTGGTGGTATTGACAATCTTAATTAAGAAGTCATTTAATGATCATGTTAGCAAATCTGGCGTATTTTTTGAGCCAGATTAACACTACTCAAGACATAAGCATAACTGATGTTCCTTCAGTAATATGCAGAGTAGAATCTGTGAAGGAACATCTGATGCCTATGATAAAATTAAGGTCAAGGACTTGGCAAAATATGTTATAAACTGTAATAGATGTTCCCAGATGGAATCACATTTCTATTAAAAAAGATACAGATGCTCAATCGATAGAACCCAGAATCTCAGAATTGCAGAACGAGAAGAACCAATTTTAGAGAATAGCCATTCCCATCATTAAAAGCTGAGGAATCAGAGCACACAAAATGCTAAGTGAAGAGCTCAAGGTCCAATGGTTGGTTATGTGTCTGGATTAGAACTCAAGTCCTTTCTACTATTCCAGGTTGTCTGTCATTATGACATATGAAGGGACATTTTAATATCTTACTTCAAAACATATTTAGGGTAAACTGTATTGTGTGGTGAAATTAGGTACAGGAATATTAACAACACAGACCATTGCATCTTTTGGATCTTTCCTGATTCCTGCTCCTGGATATTGCCCAGTCTTATATTTACTTTTTTTTTTTTCCAGAAGTCACCATAGTTTTATTTATTTATTTTTTTATTATTATGTTATGTTAATCACCATATATTACATCGTTAGTTTTTGATGTAGTGTTCCATGATTCATTGTTTGCCCATAACACCCAGTGCTCCATGCAGAACGTGCCCTCTTTAATACCCATCACTAGGCTAACCCATCCTCCCACCCCCCTCCCCTCTAGAACCAGTGTTATGCTGAGCGAAATAAGTCAATCAGAGAAAGACATGTATCATATGACCTCACTGATATGAGGAATTCTTAATCTCAGGAAACAAACTGAGGGTTACTGGAATGGTGGGGGGTGGGAGGGATGGGGTGGCTGGGTGATAGACACTGGGGAGGGTATGTGCTATGATGAGCGCTGTGAATTGTGTAAGATTGATGAATCACAGACCCGTACCTCTGAAACAAATAATACATTATATGTTAAAAAAAAAAAAAAAGAAGAAGAAGATAGCAAGAGGGGAAGAATGAAGGGGGGGAATCGGAGGGGGAGATGAACCGTGAGAGACGATGGGCTCTGAAAAACAAACTGAGGGTTCTCATATTTACTCTTAAAGTACAAATCCCAGGGAATCTACTGTTCTCCAGGCATCATAAAGATGCTGAACTAATATTAAATCTGCAACACATTTTTTAATTTCAGTAGTACTATTAAGGATCAGCAAATATTAGCACCACACTAGTGTATGGGTGGTACCTCTTTAAAGTCAGATGATAAATAAACACTTTCTCAGTTGATCTTTCACAAGATTTAATATTATCCAGAGTTTGGGTACTAATACTAAACTTCTGTGAATCATGAAAGATTTGGCAACAAATGGGCAAATACTTAACACTACCGAAATAAAAAGCACTACAGTGATTTTCACAAGCTTTCTCTCATAGATAAATCAAGTTGACAGTGAAGCAACACACTTAGAGGGGAAAAAAATATATTCTAAGATTCACAAGATGCACTTGTGATTTTTAAGACCTTATCATAGACTGAGAACTATCATAATCTCTTTTATCGTACCAGGAGGGATTCTGACCTCAGCTTTTCACTGACCAACTGGGATAGATTTTGCAGAGCACCGAGACCAATAAAACGAGGAGAAAAAGACTGACTTTAATCCCATTAATAAAGATGCAAAACTGATCATCTCTTCCCATTTTAGCCAATGGCAGAACTGGCCATTGTAGCCCATAACCTAAAAGTTAATATGGACTCACTTGCACCCATTCCCCACCTCAAAAAAAATCATTCAACTTTATCAAGACTGCATCTTACTATCTTAAATTTACTTCAGTGGCTCTCAAACGTACCGCTATCAGAGTCCTCTGAGGAAATTTGTATTGGTAAAAATACAAAGGCCAAATGAGCTCTCCTACTTCAAGGAGCCTGGACCTCTGTGGGCTTTAGTGGCTGTCCATGTGATTATGATATGCAACAAATTTGAGAAACACTGCTTTAGTGTCTGCTCCTCTCCCAGATATTTGCATTTGTTTCTTAATTGTTCTGCCTGGCTCCAGCTTCTTTCTGTACCAGTCCACTCCTCCACCAGTCAACAAACCTGAACAAGTCCAAGCTTAAAAAAAAAAAAAAAAATTAATGGCTGCTTATCACACTCAAGAGTAAATCCAGATTTGTCATGCATTTAAGGCCCTTCAAAATTTGGCTTTTGTAGTCTTCTTCAGCCTCATTTACCATCACTCCACTTTAGGTGCACATTCCCCTAATGCACAATGCCTTCCTGGAGTCCAGGCCATTTATAATCATTCCCATACTACTTCAAAAATTATTTATTGAGCTGCTACCATCTATACAGCACTGGATCTAAATCTGCCGATAACGCAGTGAAGAAATGGAAACCATACCAGTTCTCAAAAGGTGGAAAATATATAAATGAACATATTTAACTTCATTAGAATTGTGATAGATGCTGCAAAGAGTCATAGGTTGTTATGTTGGGATTTTCAGAGGTAGCTTCCTCAAGCAAGTGATTTTTGAGCTAACGCTTTAAGTTTTTATAGAAATTACAAAAGAAATGGCAGGGGGTTCAGAGGAGCCTTTAAAGCTAGGGAACAGAATATGCAAAGGTCCAGTGGTGAGAGGAGAACAACATTTTCAAGGAACTGAAAGAAATGCATAGAGCGGTACACCTTATTTCTGGGGATACTTTCCAAGACCCCCAGTGGATGCCTGAAGCTGTAGATAGTACTAACCCTATATATATTTTTTCCTATAATACATACCTATGATGAAGTTTAATGTATAAAGTAGGCCCAGTAAGAGATTAACAACAATAGCTAATAATAAAATAGAGCACTTATAACAATGTACCATAATAAAAGTTATGGGAATGTGGTCCCTCTCAGAATATCTTCCTATACCATATTCACCCTTGCTCTTCTTGTGAGGATGTGAGATGATAAAATGCCTACGTGATGAGATGAAGTGAGGTGCATGGCGTAGGCACCGCGATGTAGTGTTGGGCAACCACTGACCTTCTGATGATGTGTCAGAAGGAGGATCACCTACTTCTGGATGGCAGTGAACCAGGGGTAACTGCAACTGTGGAAAGCAAAACCAGAGATCAGGGAGGACTGTTGTAGAGGTGAAGACAAAAAGAGAGAAAGGGTGGGTAGCCAGAGATAAAGTTAGTGATAGGGGCAGAAACCAGTTCATTTAAGTACTTATTAGACATGGTTGCTTCTTTTTTTAAAAATCCTAAGGAAAACTGAGAGTTTTTGAATATTTTTAGGGAGAGAATTGTCTCAGATTTGCTTCTGAAAAGAATATTCTGACCACAATGTAGAGGATGGATTAGAGGATGAGAAGCATGGACCACATACTACTTTCCAGAAGCCCATTGCAGCGGTCCAGGAGGAAACAGATGCTGCTTGGAGAAGGCTCTACGCACTAGATCTGCTGCAAGAAAAATGGCGCAAGAAGACAACTTCACAGCATGCTTTACCCTCCACTCAAAGAACCATCTTCTTCCCACCTCATCTTTTGGTTTCATCTGCAAGGCCTAGATTAAAATCGGGTTTTCTTACTTCAGTATTCTTAACATTGGGCATTTACTCTTGTTACATTTTAACATTTTTAAAATATTTAAATATTTTTTTATTTATTTTATTTTTATTTTGAATTTAATTAATTTATTTCTTTTTGAGAGAGCAAGAAAGAGAGAGCACACACACACACACAGAGGGAGAGAGAGACTCTTAAGCAGGCTCCACACCCAGCATGGAGCCAGACACAGGGCTTGATCTCATGACCCTGACCCTGAGATCATGACCTGAGCTGAAGTCGAGAGTCAAACTCTTTTTTTTTTTTTTTAAGATTTTTAGTTATTTATTTGACAGAGACACAGCGAGAGAGGGAACACAAGCAGGGGGAGTGGGAGAGGGAGAAGCAGGCTTCCCGCTGAGCAGGGAGCCTGACGCGGGGCTCGATCCCAGGACCCTGGGATCATGACCTGAGCCGAAGGCAGACGCTTAACGACTGAGCCACCCAGGCGCCCCGAGAGTCAGACTCTTAACCGAATCAGTTACCCAGGCTCCTCGGCTCTTGCTACATTTTAAATACTGGTTTATATATCTCTCCCCTATACTGAAATACAGATTATTAAGGGCAGCAACAATGTTTTATCTTCATCTCCACTGCCCAACTAATTCTATGTTTCAATAAATATTTGAATGAATTGCCCATAAATTGACCAGCCATGTGATGTTAGACAAATAATTTAACCACCATAGACCTCAATTTCATCACCTAATAAGTCACCTCATCCCCTCACTCACTGTAAGCCCTTGGAGTTAGCTCTCAGCAGGCAAATATCTTTTTCCTGAACTGAGGATATATGGAAAATCAATCAGGCAGATTCCAAAGGAGAGATTTAACTGAAAAAAAGATTTTATAAAGGGGCTTTTTATAGATATTGAGGCAGAGCTCAGGGTCCAACAAGATTTTATGAGGCACCCAGGAACTCTGATATCAGGAAGCCTCTACCACTCCTCACATGAAAAGATAAGGGGAAGGAATAGTGTTAAGGAAGCCTCCTGAGAAATGGAGCTGTGGGTGTGGGTCTGTCCAACAGGAGTTGTGGCCACTACCTCCAGGACTATGGCCAGGCAGGGAGTGAGCCTGTGGCAGGAGCAATCTCCTATACCAATCTAGCTCTTCCAGCCATCACTATGTTTCCAGAGGCTCTTAAAGGACTGAGCCCATTTGAAAGCCAGAGGGCAAGGGAATCCCGGTGATTATGTTCTTGCGGTCAATCTTCCAAGTCACTGAGCAGGGAATAGAAAAAGGAAGGATGGATCTAGTGATGTAAATGGAGAACAATCGGAACAGAAAGAAAAGGTTTACACAAGAAAACCATGGGAGATTGAATTTAGTAAATGAAAGGAATCTAATAAAGCCTTCTCAATGATGATGTAGGCCAAATATGAGCAAAGAAAGAACATGGAGTACTTAGAAATGGGATTGAAGAAGAAATAATGGCAAAAATTAAGTAAATGAGCCAAGGGGAGGACAATATAGGCAAATGTTCAGGCCTGAATCTTTTGCTGTCACTCACATTTAGTCCACATCTGCGTTTGAAGGACAGCAATAGATTTCCAATCAAGAAATCAAGTGATCTCGATCTGCACATCAATTTATATAATGTGATGTTAGCTGCAAAAAATACCTTTTTACTTTCTAGAACTTAGAGACCCTTGCTTGCATACTTTATTTAATTTGATTTAAAATATTGAAAACTCCATGACCGGGGCGCCTGGGTGGCTCAGTCGTTAAGCGTCTGCCTTCGGCTCAGGTCATGATCCTGGGGTCCTGGGATCGAGCCCCACATCGGGCTCCCTGCTCGGAGGGAAGCCTGCTTCTCCCTCTCCCACTTCCCCTGCTTGTGTTCCTGCTCTGGCTATCTCTCTCTCTGTCAAATAAATAAATAAAATCTTTAAAAGAAAAAAAAGAAAACTCCATGACCTAGGAGTGCAAAACTCAATGCAATTTGGTATATTCAATATCAGTTGAAAGATTCTTCATATTGACACACATAATTACTACTCATCTCCAGAGAGCCTATTGTGCTAGATAGCGATTAGGGGCTTTCCAGACCACGTCCCGCCATACTATCAAAACTGCACTTGGAAGAGGCTGCAATCCACAACTTTCTGGAAAAGAGCCTGAAGCTCAAAGAGGAGGTAACACAGCCTACATGACCTGGAAAGTGGGAAGACTGGGGCTCACACTCAGGTCTCGGACTCCGTAGCTCTCATTCATCACTTAATGTGCTAGAAGCATCCCGAGGCAGTGGGGCTGCCTATAGTTGGGGCTAAAGAGGTGGCTGATGATTTCCATGTTTAGATACAGGAGCACTAATGGGAATCTGCTTTCTTTTCTAATTAATTGAGAAAAACATATCAGAAGAGACAGAAATTTTGAGTTAATTGGTTCAGGGAAATGAGATAGCTTGATTAAACAAGAGTACATGATACCCAATCGATGTTTATGACAGAGGGAAATGAATCTCACCTAGAGTCCTGGGGAGAGTCAGCAGGCTGGGCCTGAAAAATGTGGTTTCAGCAGGATGGAAAGATTGGAGATGAGATTGCAAAAGGAGATATTTAGCCATGAGAAATTGTTTGTGGGAAAGTGTGCTTTGCAAGTCTGCCTTCCTGGCAAACTTCAGATATTTATTTACATCATCTATCAACTTGCTTTATTGACTCATTCAATTTCTTTTTTAATTCCAAAAGCAAATTTGATTACTTTCTATATTCCATGCACACTTCTAGGTGCTGGGCATAGAAAGACAAAGCAATGTTCTCTTTCCCCTCATAGAGTTTTACATCCAGTGGAAGACACACAGCCATAAACCAGCAAGTGTAATCTCCTATGACGGGTATTAAATAGCTGAGGAGGGTGCTTTGGAGACATAGAGAAAAAATAGCCTCATTACTAAGAAGTCAGAAGGAGTCCTTTTCAAGAGTTTGGTCTTGAAGAATGGGAATTAAATGGGTAGAGAGAAAAAAAATATAAAGGTTTTAAGTAAAGAGAATGACACCTGGGAAGTTCTTGAGAACAGAGGCAACGAGTTTGAGGGACCAGAGTAGAGGATACTTGTGGGACTGGAACGGAAGATGAGCCAAAAGAAGCAGGCAGGTGCCAGGCCATGTGCAGAAGCTAGGGAATTTGCGAGGAACCACAAACCTCTGGGAAGCCACTATTACGATTTAAATCAGCAGAGTGATAAAATCAGAGACAAGCTTGGGAAAGATTATATTGGATGCAATGTGAGGTAGACACAGGAGGAACTCCAGGCAGGAGGCACGGAGACCAGTTGGAAGCTTGGTTCCAAAGCTGAGTGATTCTGCAACTGGTCAGTCATGGTTACTGACATGGGGAACACAGGACGAGGAGTGGGCTTAGAGAAAATAAGTCTTCAACCTAATTATTTTCCCATGATAAATTCTCATCCTCCCTTCTTTAACATATTAATAAGGAGAAGGAAGATAAGTATAATTGATAAGAATGGATTTGAATATGCTTGTGCTTATTTTCTGGTCTTGATCAGAA